AATAAACTTAAAAATCAAAGTAAAGCGTGTGTGTATTATTCTGATATTTTTAATGTGCTAAATTTTTATAAATCTATAAAAACATAAATTATTCAAGTTGTAAAAATGATTATTTTATAAATATCAAGTTTCAAGAAGTTACATTAAATATCGGGGCTTACGTTTTTATTACTCAATTTTTTATTTTATACGAGGAAAACTCAGTATTTAGCTGTACAAGTATTTAATACACATTTAATGAATAATATATGACCGGACATATAATAACTGTCCAACATTCAAAACCGCTTTTGAGGGAACATCACATCAGGAATAGATATAGGTATACGCATGCATGCGAGAGCTGCGAGCTGCGAGAGCCGGGAGCCGAGAGCCGAGGCAGCTAGAATACAAAACATATATAGCTATACCCGTGTATACGCACATATTCCTTCCCCCTCTACTAGGTACCTATCGTACGCACAATTTGGTCTTCTCCTCCGCTGCTGAAACGTGCGTATAGTTCGGCTGATTTGCCGCGACGGGGCGCTCAAAACAGTGGAAAAAAAGCGACACACTCTCTACCATAGGCGCTGGCAATCTCCCTTCTAATCTCTGGTATAACTTTCTTCCGCGCACAGTATGATGCATTGCGATACGCATTCTAACCTACATAATATCTCGTTTGAGTTTTTTTTTGTAATTTAGACAGTGCTCGTGCTGCATCATTAATTCATCTCACAATTTTTTATTCCGTATTTCACAGAACGATTGCTGTGAGTTCGTGGCACGTCAATTCTTTAAACAGGAAAAATTACAATTGTCTGCATACGTGGACCTTCCGTTCTTGAATAGTATTGCAACTTTGCATTTGAATACAAGAGCCTCCTAAGTATTTTATGCTCTCAATTTGACTGCTTTAGAACATGGTAATGTTCACTGTTTTCCTGTGGGTACATGAACCGTACGCTGAATAACCTGATATATAGCTCTGTGCTGTTGTGTATAAACACATTCATCTTTTAGTGGTAAGATATCTGTAAACCTACTTATGAGTAGCAAACGTTGTATTAATGACTGAATGCTTATATTTTTAGGTCGTATAAAGCTACTACTTGTATTCTTAATAATAGACAGAAAAGTGCAGTTGCAGCATACTTTAGACTATAGTCCTTACTACAAGTGCGAATACTGGCTACTATCAACACACTTTCAGCGAGCATCAAAGATTTTTCTCTTACAGGAGTGTAATCAAAGGTAATTCTCATAATTTTTACACACAATATTGCACTGGCCAAGCCCTTTTTTCCCTATTGCAAAAGGTGAAGCAGTAGAGAGAAACTAAGAGAGAAAAGTTATATTTCAAATTGTGTACACTGACCCACTCTTTTATGATCACGAAATGTAACTTTTCTCTCTTACTTCGCAACAAATTGTATTGAATTTAGGCTTGATTGATTCTTCAAAGTACCAGCTTGGGGGCTCTTCTCATCATTTTGGGTTTAAATAGTTATATAATTAGTTATAAACAATAATATCTTATTACAGGCAAGGCGGTAAGGTAGAAATTTTAGATGATGTACGGAATGCCCTTAACACAGGCTTTAGTTGTATTCATTAATTTTTATTAGTTCTAAAAAAGAAATCGGTGTTTACTACAGTATGCATAGTAAGCAATAAAACTAGACCTTTGAAAAAAAAGTAAAAGAATGTGACAAAAAAACTATTGTTAGTGTTCTGGTTTGTTAATTAAAAATATTTGAGTAAGTATCAGTATCGTCAGTAATGCATAAAACGCTTAAGGTAACTTTTATCTTTTATGTTCTAATTTGTAATGTGCATTTAAATATTGACCAGAGTAAATTATAATAAATTAACCTAGTTCAAGGCTCCTTTCATATCAAAACCATGAATGTATATATTATACTACACATTTCTTACTTGTTTCCTTCATAACATACTCCGTAAAGTGAAAAAGGCAGATAAGTACCGATCAAAAAAGTTGATTGCCTTTTTGTCACAGTCAAAGATTGTTTGTATACATTATTTAGAGAACTGTAAATCGAGGTCTTCGATTTTTTATTAATTCTTTTTATAATAATTTATTACCGTCGTGGAAAATAACAAGTAAATTTAAATAGTTATTATGAGTATCGCAACATAAATGTAATTTAAAAATGTTCAGTCAATATAAAAAATAAATATGTATTTACTCCGTAAAACAGATTATTGTGTAAATGTTTACAAAATAAAATTTGAAAAAAGAAAATAGTACTTTCCTTTAAAAATTTACTAAACTGGAAATAGCAATGTTATCTAAATGAATTTTTTTCAAACGCTTAATAAATTCATTTTTCAATTTTAAGTGTTATAAGACTTTAGGACGAGTTCATAATAAATTCATAATGAACTCATGACGATATTGTTATTAAAAAAGTTATATTAAATGAATTCTTTATGAATTCGTAACTAATTCATAACAGGTGACATAAAGTGATCAAAACATGAATTCATATAGGTCAAATTAGGAGTATATAAAGAACTCATGAATTTTTACTGAATACTCAATGAATTCTTTATAAATCGTTTTTGAGCACGTATGATCGCGAACTTCTGGCCGTCTATGAAGCTGTATCAAACACTTAAACAGAATCCGGGAGGGCCAAAATTTCGTCATTTACACGGACCATAAGCCGCTGACCTACGCAGCCTCTCAGCGCTCGGACAAAGCTTTGTCAAGACAAGCACGTCATCTAGAGCACAGCGGCACAACACCGTGTTAGTCCACGCACGAGGCGAAGATAACGTCGTCGCAGACACCCTGTCTCGACCCAACGACGCCCCGGCAACACCAACCGACTAGTCCGGTAGCTGAAGCAATCAATAAGGAACAAATCGGAGATAGCGTCCAAACTTTGCAGATCGCTTCGTATTATGGTCTGTAAACATGGAAAAATAGTTTTGTCCAACCAAACCACGGGCTTCAATTGTTATTAAACAATGAGTAAAAATTTGCCATTTTTTTCTTAGTTTTTCTCATATTACTTTTTTTGTGGCTGTCGGATTGCAAAAATACCTAAAGATATTTTGTTCGTTATTTAATTATCTACCGATCTGTGTAGGTTAAATCATTGGAAGACTTTTTTTCGCGAAGTTATATTGCAAAAAAGTGCAAAAATCGTCGTTATAAATTGTCATTTTGAAACATCCATAACTTTTATAATGTTTGATGAAAATGCTTCAAAATTTGGTATTCGATAGCTCTTATAGAGATCTTAAGCCATGCTCAAGGCTTTTCTTGTATTATGAAAAATAACGTAAATAAACTATAATTAATTAAAAAATTCATTTGATTGTCCTGATCGTTAAAATTGAGCTAGACTGAAACTTTAAAATGGATTTTATTCAGAATACAAAGGACTTCAATATTGTAAAAAAAAATTTTTTTTTCAATTTTTACCCCGATTTTTTAAAAAATTTAATTTGGCAATATCAACAAATTAACATTACTCGATCATTTTTTATTGTGGAGAAGTAGAACTAGTCCCATCTAATAGTGTATATTTTTACACAAATTTACAAAAAAAAATTTTTACGATACGATGTTTTTAACTATAGTTATTAACAATTTAGTGTTTTTTGCAATTGTTTAATTTCTATCGGTTTTTTCGATTTGAAAAAAATATTATAGTATCTACATAGCATCTGTTGTTGTAATATATGACTTACAGATTTTTTAACAAATAATTGACAGTTAGAAAAAATTACTTATTTATACAGTTTTACGTGCGATAACGGCCTGTGTACGGCGGGTTGCATGTTTCAGGCGTTTCCATACCAGTTCGAAAAATCATATTATTTGATCTTTTACTTTTATTATTGTTTTGTAATAACTAAAAATACATGAACATACATTTTTATACAAAATTTATTATGTGAATGCAAGAAAATACGATGTACATGATATTTGTTGCATAAATTTTTTATAAAATACTATTTCTTATATTTTACGTTTTTTTGTTACTGGTGTGTGATCACTATCACTCTCGGTGTCATCTTCTATTTCGGCGAACAAGATGTCATCAGAATCGTCTTCTAATACTAATTCACTCATCTGGATTTGAATTTGCTCATGCTCTACGTTCTGAGTACTGTATATGTCGTTATCATCTTCATCTTCACTAAGAGACACTATTCTGTCTTCCATGTTAGCACAATTTTTACCTTCACAGTATTTACACACGGCTGAGCAATGGATTCCATTGTTTTTGCAGCTACATTTTCCTCCACATCCCTTCTTGCATTTACACGCGATCTGTTTTAATATTTTTTCAGGAATGAGTGGCTGCAGTGTGATAACCGGAAGCAGTCCATTTTCAGTTTTTTTCCATCCCCATTTTTCTACGTCCACTCCGCTATCAGTTTGCAACCATTGCCTTATTTGATAATATACTCTGCAGGAGTGCTCACGGGCTGCCCCTTCAGTTGGGGGTAACAAAGATATATTAAAATTTTTGTGACAGGATATTTTTCGGAAAATATTAAAACAAAACTCGTTTAAAGGGCATTCTTCTTGAGTTGTACCTCCATAGATAGCTTGAATCAGTTTTTGACCTGCCCGGTTTATATAATTAGGAAAAGCATTTTCGTTATAAAATACTTGACAGACAGTTTGTAAATCCGCATCTTTATCTAAGACTCTGATAATTTTTCCTTTTCCCTGATTATAAAAAGATGATGTTGTGTCGCACCCGCTGAAGGCGTGAATAAGTGCGATAAAGTTTTTTAAATGTAGGTAATGAAAGCTGTTGCTGTCCTATACCGTTGCATTATTTTCGATAATCCCTATAAAATAACCAAAAATGACGATAATGCGCATGCGTAGTTTAGGAATTATCGCCGATAATCGACAAAAATGCTTACTTTTGCGAGATATCGAATGCCCCGATCAGACCCCTGCCCTCGGTTCCTTTTCCGAGCCCAACAACAGATTCCAACAGATCCACGTGGATCTCATCAAAATGCCGTTGGCCCAAGGCATGCAATACTGCCTCACGATCATCGATCGCTTCACAAGGTGGCCGACCGCAATCCCGCTACCTAACATTACAGCCGCAACCATCGCCAAGGCCCTGTACACCAATTGGATAGTAAACTTCGGCACGCCACTGTTCATCACCTCTGACCGTGGCTCACAGTTCGAATCAGCGCTCTTCAACAAACTCGCCCGCACTCTAGGTCTCTAGGTACACAACTCGTCCACACCACATCATACCACCCGCAGTCCAATGGGATAATCGAAAGGATACATCTCACTCTTAAAGCCGCTTTGAGGTACTGCACACAGTCCTGGCTAGATGCCCTACCAATGGTGCTGCTAGGTTTGCGCACCAGCTTCACGGAGGACCTGCAAGCTTCACCCGCAGAGATGCTGTTCAGCACCACGCTTCGCATCCCAGGCGAGTTCTTCACAACTGCCACTGCACAAACAAACTCGTCAGCCTTTGTAAATAGCCTCTATCAGGTGTTCCAGAGCATTAGACCTTTTCCAGCTTCTCGGCACGCCACCCAGCATCCATTCTGGTACATGCAAAGCCCTCCGCACTTGTACACACGTTTTTAAACGTGTAGACTGCATCAGGAAACCCCTAGAGCCGCCCTACATGGGCCCCCACCGGGTGATCAGCCGCAACGACGACCGCACCTATGTAATCAACGTCGATGGAGAGGAAAAAACAGTCTCAACAGACCAGCTAAAACCAGCCTATGCCAGCTAAAAATTCGTCATAAGTTCTTACACAAATTCTTATGTAATAAGTTCTTTTAAAAATTCGTGTATTAGTCGTTTAAATGCATTTAATTACTATCTACATACATACACAGTGAATTTAAAAATTTTTTCTGCATAAAAACTGTTAGGATAGCTAATAAATATAAGTAAATACCAAAAAAAGCATCTCTTACCTCCACTAAGGGGATTTGACTCTGGTCCGGAGAATCTCCAGTCTGCAAGTGTCTTACCCACTTGGCCAGAGTGGATACGATTTTTGGGAAAGAATTGACGTCCTCATAAGGAACTTCTAAAACTAATGTTTATTTTTTTATTTTGTGGATAAAATTTACCATCTTGGTTACCTCATTGGTTAATAAATATTTTATAAATGTACATATAACATTGGTTTCAGTTCAATAATGCGTTTCTCGACAATAAATCGAGTAATTGATTTCACAACAACTTTTCGTTCATGGATTTTATTTGAACTTTACTTATACTTTTTATTCTAAGGGAAAAATAATCTATTTTTAAANAACTTTTTCTGTTTAATACTTTAATGTCGATATCGAAAACAAGCAGCAAAAATAATTTCTCTCTTTTTTATACATTACTCAAAAAATTAAATCAATTCTTAAAATAAAAGTTTACACATGAAATTAGTTAAAAAAAAAAAAAATTTGATTTAAATAAAAAGTGGAAAAAAGTTTCTTAACTAGTATCAGAGATTCTAAAAAGCAATAACTTGAGGACTTAATAACATCGATGTTAGTATCAGGTGTACCGTATGAGGGCGTCAATTCTTTCCCATATTTATATCGAATCTACTCTGGCCCAGTCGGTAAGACACTTGCATAGAGATTCCCTGGACCAGGTTCAAATTCCCTTAGTGAAGGTAACAGATACTTTTTTTTGGTATTTACTAATTTATATTAGCTATTCCAACAGCTTTTAAGCAGAAAAAATTTTTAAATTCACCATGTATGTATCTAGATGTTAATTAAATACGTTTAAACGACTGATACACGATCTTTTATAAGGACTTACATAACAAATTACATAAGATCTTATTAAGTTCTTGGTTGAAATACAAGTTCTGACACAAGTTCTGTTAAAAGAACTTATATGAGAACTTACATAAGAACTTACATAAGAAATTACATAAGAAATTACGCAAGAACTTATGTAAGAACTTATGACAGATTTTCAGCTTGGTACTTATGGAAGCTTCGGATATGTAACAGGCCCCGCAACCTGCTTCACAAGCTGCGCCTGCCCAGCCCGACGTTTCTCTACCCCCACCAGCTACCATCCCTGCAGAAGTCGACACCCACACCGCCCCCCAGGTCAGCAATGTCAGCATCCCAAGGGGCCGTGCACTCAGTTCTCTGATCGTTCTCCCAATGTAGATAAAAAAGATCCAACGAGAGAATTAACCGATGTAGAACTCGGGAGAACAAAAGAGAAGTTAAGAGAATGTACGGAGCTGAGAGTACAAATGAAAATACATGAGAATACAAGACGGCTGAGCAATGGATTCCATTGTTTTTGCAGCTACATTTTCCTCCACATCCCTTCTTGCATTTACACGCGATCTGTTTTAATATTTTTTCAGGAATGAGTGGCTGCAGTGTGATAACCGGAAGCAGTCCATTTTCAGTTTTTTTCCNCCAAGGGGCCGTGCACTCAGTTCTCTGATCGTTCTCCCAATGTAGATAAAAAAGATCCAACGAGAGAATTAACCGATGTAGAACTCGGGAGAACAAAAGAGAAGTTAAGAGAATGTACGGAGCTGAGAGTACAAATGAAAATACATGAGAATACAAGAGAACATATAATAAAACATAAGAACTTCAGAGAATCGCTAGAGAAATTGAGAAAATCTAAGAGAATATGTGAGATGACTATGTGCAAAATGCAAAGTATCACTGAGCTTGATACAATAGCGGAGGTAAGCAGAAACTATAGTGTGCCACTGCTCTCACTGTACTCTCACTGCGCTCCCAACTTCTCTCGTTACTCGTAAGTTCTGTTTTATTCTGTAACTTTTCTCATGCGCTTTTTAATACATTAGCAAAAATAAATTAATTATTATTTGCATAATTTAATAATCCAATCAAAAATGACTAATGACTAATAAAAATTCCGAAAAAAAATTTCATCAAAAAAATTATAAATATGGTAATATGAACTTCTAAATGTTTTCTAGGGCCAAATAAAAAATTTTTTAAAACCATCTTGTATCACTAGAGTTAAGAAAAAAGGCTCAAACTCCCAACACATTCAAACGGACTCAACATTTTGGACTCAAAAAATTCTCTAAAAACACGTATTTCAAGAAAATTACTACTAGAAATAAAAAAAGGAATTTTCAGCCTACCCTGAAATTTGTATCATTTAAATTATAATTGCAATACTTTTTTATTACAAGCACATTACAATGAATCAATTATTAGAAGCTTACTATAACTTGTAAAATAAAGCTTGCAGAAACGACTCTTACAGTTATACCCAAACACACACAAAATTTGATGATTTAATTATTAAGTTTCATATACGAATAAGCAATTAAATGATAATATTTAAAGTATGATTTAATCACTATTCAGGTACATTGACACTTAGTACAAAAATGTTTTTTACAAATAACTTTTTTATAGCATATTTCTAGGCATTAATCGTTCAACAAATACAAGACTAGTATACTTAATATTGTTCCATGCTTAATACTCGTTCTACAACTTGATTTTCTTCTTCAAATTTTGCTGTTTCTTTTTCAATTTCCTCGTTCATTTCTTTTTTTCCTTCTCTTTCAATATATTCTTTCTCAATTTCTTCCACTTCTTTATCTAGATCCACAACTTCCATGCCATCGTTTACATTATTTTTGTCATTGCCATTTCCATTTTCTACTATCTTTTTTTTAGAAGATGTTGGAGAGGATGTGCGTCGGGTGTTAGATCGTTTTTTTTTTTTTTTTCATCAGAATTAGGGCCAGGTGCATTCTTTCTCTTCTTAAGATCATCATTAACATGAGTTAGAAAGTGTCTCCTAAAGTTATGCGTGTTCCAAGATTTTTGTTTCATTAGTTTTATTTTTACGTCACACACGGGACACACGACATCACACGTAACCTGACTGTTGTTTTTAAAAATTTCCACTTTTACTGAATCTAAATGATCAGACACATTTTTATCTGTAATGTCTTTTTTTATCTTCTCTATGTTGCCTTCCACTTTCTCTTTTTCTTTATTGGTATCAATATTACATATATTTTCATTTATTCGAGGTATTTTATTTTTCCAAAATTTTTGGGGTTGTTGACTGACAAACTCCTTGACATGTAAAATTAAATACTTATCCCCGATGGTAAAATCCAATTGACTTGGGTGCTGATAAAAAATACCATAAAAATCTTTCGTTGTTGTTTCATCCGCATCCAATGGCAATAATGATTTGTACACTTTTGATCTAACGAATTGTATTAGTTCTGCAATGTGGCTTTCTTCAAAATTCCTTAAGCTACAGTGGTTTTGTAAGTTCTGTGCCTCGAAGATTTTTTTTATCTAGGTTGGAATGGTTGTACATATTCCTTGCTCAATTTTTTCCCAAAACATTTGTTCTTCACTCTTTTCTACATTATTCGTAATCTTTTTTGCTGATGGATTTTAAAGCTGAAAAAAGACATATGTCATTAAATAATTTAATTTATTAAACCATACATATTTCTGGAAATATACTCTGTATATATTTTAGGAAAACCATCACAAGAGTTTCATACACTTTGATATCCGCACACAGGAACCTAGATATATAACAAAAATATCAGACTTGGCAAAACTGCTGTCAAATTATTGTAAAAAGAATTTTCATCTGTCCTTGTGTGTGTGTGTGTGGGCGCGCGCGCGAGCACGCTCGCGTTCTCGGAAAACGTTCTAGCCATATACCAGCTTTTTAATGTTTTTTACTTAGATTTATCTTACGCAATATTATTGAAACTTGATTTTTAATTCTGTATAATTCCGAAATGATAGTTATTTTTATTTTTATTAGTAAACTGGTGAAATTTATTTATTTATTTATTTAATTAAAATCTTTCGATTCTACAACATAGATTTTATTTCAGTTGAGGTAAAAAACTTTCAACAAAGTTAATTTAATTAATTTGAATTTAAGAATACAAATTTTTTTATTTACAATTTTTATGAAAATAAAAATTTATGAGTACGTTGGTTGAGAGAAATTCATGTTAATTTATTGGAAAAGATGAATAATATAAATAAAACTTCATCGGGTTAATCTATGTTTACCATCAGAGTGGAATTTGTTGCCCCTAAAATAACAAACACAAATTTATTTTTGGATATTAAGTTTATTTTAAACAATTTTAATAAGGTGCAAAACTTATTTTTTTCTGCTTTACTACAAAAATACAAAAACTAACACGTGAACAACTACTTTTTTAAATATTTTAATTTACTCATGACTTTACATTTTTTTACATCTTAATATTTTTTTCAATACAAAAGAAAAGAAACAAACTATTTTGTAGTCTCAATGAAAAGTATTACAAGTATTTATAGTTAAGCATCTACAAGTAGGGAATTATTATCAAAAGTGATTATCGACTATCGATTTCATAACTTTTGATTCCAACTATCAAATGAAAAAAATTTGTTTTTCAAACACAATCAAAGTAAGTGTTTCAGTGTAAACACGTTTGGTAGAATGCCCAAGAACGCTGTACTTGTTTTTCGTTTACATTTTTTACTCTAAAAGTACGTATTTTGGTGTAAAAAAAAATGAAAATGGTCCGAGGTATCAAAAAAGTTATTTATTTAAATTCAATAGTTTAATAGTGTATATTCCGGTGTACAAAACAAGAAAATTGTGCGAGTTCCTGAAAGAAATTTTTTGGTCTTGGGGGCCTAAAAAACAATATGTATTTTTATTCAAATTGATTAATCATTTTCCACTTTTTTCCAATTTTTTTCTTTTTCCTTA